ATATAAGTGTATGGGGGGGGTTTCACTTTCTCCACTGCATGTATAATTTTATAAGCCTCTTTCATGCCTCCCTCTTTCTCTCTCTTTTCTGATCCAGCTTTTTTTCATCAGAAACATTAACATACTTTTAAATAGAATGTATAGTTTACATTGTAGATGTAGCTTTCAGTATCATGCTTTCACATCTAGCTCCTTTTAGAAGTATTTGTTAAAAGCCTTTCATGCCACGTTTTTGGCAGATTTCTGTTCAAGAGATTTGCTTTTCCTGTTTCCTGAATGAGTGGTATGCCATTCTACAGGATGATCGTTTGCTTTTTTGAAATTTTGCAGATTTCCAGAGTCACATCAAGGCTTAAGAAGATTTTGTTTTGGTAATAAATCCCAGTGTTTAATTTGAGATCGGCAGCGTATCCACTAGGGATGATGTTTCCTGCCGTATGAAAAACTAGGCCAAATTTAAGGGAATCATATTAAAATGTTGTATCAGTACATATAACAGAAATGTACTGCAGGTTCTTTTCTCTGTCTTTCTCCCTTCCAGAAAAGAGAGTGACAGAGGAACATGATTTTATATATGTATAACGTGTTCAAATTTTATATAGTATTTGTTTATTTTACAAAATTTGTCTCCCAGGTTTTTTGCCCACACAATGGCCACCAAGGCAGTGAACAATTTAAAACATGCATGATAAAAAACGCATTTTAAAATAATTAAAATAACCCTTCTCTTCTTTCTTACATAGCTTACTCATGTACTAAACAAGCAGTTCGCTTATTCTGAAGGTAATTCTCACCATCCAGCAATAATAGTATTTTTTTCAAATTATGATGCTGATGCCATACAAACTGTCTCAAAACTATTTCCTTTTGCACTGAGCATCCAGTCTGATGAACGGTTCTGGGAAACTTGAAAGTTTGCTTACATTGTGAGATTTTGTTGGATCTTAATAAAAATGTTCCATTATTGGAATTTTCCTGTGGACCAAAGCTGCTTAGCTACCTGCAGTTTTTGTCTAGAGGTGGGAAATTGTGGTAGTCTGTTTCTGCAAAAGCCATGAAGAAATTATGGCCTTTTATGGGCAGATTTAAAACTAAGTCACTTCTTAAACATTTGATTTAAAATAATTGAGCCATCTGACTATAAACCGCTACCATAATACAAAATATGGCGGTAATTCTTTTTTTGATATCTCTGGGAAAGAATTACCAAGCATCGTATTCAAAACCTGGGAAATGACCAGACAATTTCTAGTGCTGAAGAGCATCATAGGATGGTCATTTGTTTGTTTGCTCTCTGATGTCCACAAAGATGCCGCATTTCAGCTTTGGTTATTTTACTACCAGTTGAAATGAACTGAAAGTGTTAAGTCACTTTATCTCTTGACACCAGACACCCAACAGATGGTAACATTTGCAAATAGTTGTTGACCTGAACCGGATTAGTTTAGTGACCTAGAGGTGAAAGGCTTGTCTGTCCCATTAATATATCCCATAAGATGCCAAACTGAATTGAACAGTCAATGAGAATCAAAATTGTGTTTGCTTATGCTTAGGGTCACATTGTCTGTTCTGCTTGGGTTTGTATAAATATTTACTCTTTTGCTTTCTGGCACATGCTGCTAAAGTTGCAAAAGTAATAGAGGTTTTTAAAATGTATGTACTTTATCAAGCAGAGCTTATTTATTGCTTAATGAAAGTATGTATTACTGCTATTGCAGGAATTCATAATATGTTAAATCAGAAAATATATCCAGGTTTTAATTGTCTGTGCCACGGTTTAAGTGGCTTTTACTTACAGTCTACGTACTGTTGTTTCAAACTGGTGAAGTCTATTATTCCCATAAATTAAGTCTGTAGTAACAGTACCAGCCTTTTGCATATAAATATATTATTGGATTTCTATAAACGTAGCTTTAAACAATGGATGTACACTTTTTGAGTTCCTGAGAAAAAGCCTTTCCATAAAATCAGTCAAAATGTGTGTATTTATTTAGAAATGATAGAATATGCTGAAAGGGCCATAGATAGAATATGCTGAAAGGTCATTTTAGAAAAATATAAATTAAATTCACTTGCTTCGCTGTATGAGTCCATGGTTTTATCCTGCAAGGTGAATCTCCTTAGACTGAGCACAGAAATCATTTTGGCAGGGCTAGCAAACTCCTAGTTAGCAGAGTGAGAAAGCTCAAATAATTGATCTCTTAATTTAGAAAGGCTTAACATGAAGATAATTGGAGACTGTTGTTCTGTTATACTGTCTGTAAGCAAGCATATAATAAGTGGCCTGTTTTCCCAATTTTGAAAGTTCCCTATTTCTAATTATTGCAAGGTGATTCTAAGCTCTTCAGAGCTTCTCATAATTTTATTAGATCTATGACAACAGTGTTGTCTATATAAATAAATATGGGGTAACCTTGGTTATCACCACAACAAAAACACTAACCTTTAATCATAACCCAACTCTCTCTGATTTATCATAATTTCATTATTGTTTTAATTGACTTGGCTATGAATGAGTTGATCCTATGTGTGTTAAGCTGTATGTCTTGAGTAGGGATGGGCATGAACCGCATTTTTGTGGTTCATATCACTTTGCAAGCCATTTAAAGTTTAAACCCCTGCTTTCTGCTCCCTGCAGCTTTTTGTGGGGAGCAGAAAGCAGGAGTTTCCAAATAGTTGAACAGCAGGGACTTCCTCTCCAAGCCATTTAAACCCTGCTTTCTGCTCCCGGTGAAAAGCCGCAGAGAGCAGGGGTTTCCAAACAGCTGAGCAAGGATCTCCATTTAAACCAAACAGCTGAGAACCATTTAAATCAAAAAAACTGAGCTCAGCTCAGCTGTTTTTCATGAAGAGCAGAAAGTATGGGTAAACCCCGGTTTTCTCCTCTTTGTGAACTGCATCAAAATTCATGGAAGTTTGTACGGCTCTTTACTCTGCGAAAGTCACTTTGTGAACCAGCCAAAATTTGTGATGAACTTTCGTTAATCTGCCAGTTCATGCCCATCCCTAGTATTGAGTGCTTTTAAATTTGTAAATTGTATGTTTTAATCTGTTTTAATTTTGTTAATTGGACTATTCTTTATTTGACTATTATAATTGGACTCCGGGTATGTTTAGCCTGGAGAGGAGATGACTGAGAGGTCATATGATAACCATCTTCAAGTACTTGAAGGACTGTCATATAGAGCTGTTTTCTGTTGCCTCAGAAGGTCAGACCAGAACCAACGGGTTGAAATTAAATCAGAAGAGTTTTTGGTTAAACATTAGGAAGAACTTCCTGACAGAACAGCTACAGAGATTCTAGAAGCCAGTTAAATGCCAACCTTCTCTTCCCAGCCAGTAGAGGAGGTTCCTCTCACTGTTTTGATGGCCCTCAAAACCAGGTGAATGCCTAAATGTGTCTAATGGTTAGACCAGCCCTTACGTTGGAAGAGGGATTTGGTGACTGTGATGTGGCCCTTTCTTACACGCCCAGGGAAATGCTGATCACCACGTTGGAGTCAGGAAGCAATGTTTCTCCAGGCCAGTTTTGCTGGAGATCCTGGAGCTTTTTTGTCATTTTCTGGGCATGAAACAGTGGACACTGGGAGTGTGTGGGGGGGAGGTATTTGTGAATTTCCTGCATTGTGCAGGGGGTTGGACTAGATGACCCTGGAGGTAGCTTCCAACTCTATGATTCTATGATTCTGTTATAATTTATGTCCTTGCAACTTGATTGTTGCATTGTTTGCTGTCTTGCATACATGCATTTTAAATAAATGAATTAATTTTTTTAAAAGCTCCTTTTAATTAAGTATTAGAGCCAGTACAGAAAACAAGAAATAAATTCATATACGGCCATTTTATGGTGTATAGTTAACATATAAACAAGCAATGATGAGAACTTCATATAAGTGTGTTTCTGTGTCATGCAGCAAAATGTATTCTGATGTGAAATGATAAACTTTGTACTTGTGCTGAGTATTACCAAGAGACAATGCAATAAGACCTCTGCTGAAGATACTAGGTGCCACAATGATGTCATGCTGCCCTAGCACCTGGGATTTACCTAACCCTTTTGTACTGGTTTTTAGACCAAGTTTGTTCCTTAGTGGCATTTCTCTATAGAGGAAAGATGGTATTGTAAACTGGTCCTTTTGTCTGTATTGACTTTTACCCTGCTTTTACAGGTCTACCTTTTTAGTAACTGAATATAAAAGCAATTCTTTCCATTTAAAAAATGTGACTTGGTAACCAGGACAATTTCAGCAAGGATAACATCTGAAACTTGGGTCCCGGTCACACGATCGGGATACTGCGCCGCTGAAGGGAGGCAAATGAGAGCTGGAGCAAAAAACAACCACGGTAGCGCGATCCAACGCGCCCCCGTGGAACCGTGCTCCGGCCTTCAGCAGGCGATCAGACGTAGCGTGGCAAAACGGACGTTGCGCGTTTGTGTGCATGTGTGGGATGGGGAATGGCGCTGGCTGCGACGGGCTACCAGCGCTTCCCCAATCAGACACCTGGAGTTGCCGCGCATCATCCGGAAGGTAGTGCTCTGTTGCCGGTACCTTTTCAATGCGTGTTTTCAGGCTGAAGGGACAGATCAGGGACGGGTGCATGACGCTTCCCAGATGTTGCGGTATGATCGCGCCCGTTTGATTTGCCCTCAACCCATCCGTTTCGCAGGGCAAATCCTCCCATGTGACCAGGGCCTTATATTTATCAGATTTGAAACTGAATTTAGCTTGAATTTTCCTCTAGTTCTGTCACAGCCATTTCCCTATATCTTCCTTGAATGCTCTTCAGTTCAGACTTCCTTAATTGATTTGAAGGGGCTGAGTGACTCAAGACCTACTCAGAGAATAATACCCAGAGTGGTTCTTCAATGCTTACCACTCCTGGAAGTAGTCTGTGTTTGCTTACAAGAGTCTCATGTTTGGTGTTCAAGCGCAGAATTGAAAATAGAAGTTGGCCTGACCTTGACAATGTCTCCCTTCCCCATTTTTGTTTTTAAACAGGCATTAGATCAGGACAGAACGGCACTACAGAAAGTGAAAAAATCTGTAAAATCGATATATAATTCTGGGCAAGGTAAGCTTTAGTTCCCTAAATCACAACAGAACTATTTATCTGTGTTTGTGTTGGTCTTTGCTGTAGTGTAACATTTAAATAATGTTATGTATTCTGTTTAAAATATTTGTGTGCCACACCTTTCACTAAAGTGCTTGAAGTAACTCACCATAAGAAAACTAACTCAGTATCCAATTATAATAAAATGCACTAGACTCCACCATGCAGCTCAGGCGAGACATGGTTATAAAACACTACTTATGAACCTACCTGACTTCTACGGTCATCTCCAGAGGCCCTGCTTTGGGTGCCATCACCTTCTGTGATTAGGCAGGTGGCAACCTGGGAGAGGGCCTTCTCGTTCGTGGCACCTAAACTCTGGAACTCTCTCCCCCATGAGATTTATCTGCCCCCTTCTGCTGCCATCTGCTGCCAGTGAGTGAAGACTTTTTTTGTTTTGTCTGGACATTCCCCCAGTGATTCCTCTTTCCTGCCTGATGTTTCAGTTGTTGTCTTATGTTTTTATATGTATTTAGGTCTGGCTTTAATTGTTGTAATGTTTTCTTGTTCTTTACAGTTGGTCTTAAAATGCAATTTTACTATGAATGTTTTAATTGTGAGCAGCCTTGGTGGCCCTTGTGAGGGGAGAAAGGTGGGATCTGAATTTTGTACAATAAAAATAAAATAATACCCTGATGGAACCTTCTCCAAAGGTTTTAATTGGGTGGAGCTAATTAAAACCATTAAAACCTTTGGAAAACCAAAAATAAAAGGGTTCATCTGGAACCTAAAAGAGAGTCAGTCCAGTCCCAGATGAGGCCCTGTGGGGAAGGAACTTGAAAGTGCTGACACTGCTACAAAAATGCCCTGTCCTTGGTGCTAACGTACTGTGCCTAGACTATGGTGGCACACAGAGCAGGGTTTCTGATGAAGATTTCAGTTGAAAGGGGAGCTTGAATGGGAAAGGGGTGTCTTTTGGGGTGCCCTGCTACCGGAAGCAAACCAGTAGACGGTGAAGGTCTTCTAGAAGTGGTGATACGTAGTCCTGGTAACTTAGACTTAGCCAGCAGCCTAGCCAGTAACATTCTAGACGAAGCTTCCAAACAGTTTTCAAAGGAAGATGTAGCTCTTAACTTTGAAGAATGAATCTACTTGGAAGGCATTGGGTTGGATCCAGCCAACTTTTCACTCAGTGTCACCCAATTCGTCCCCCCACTACAGCCCCCATCTCACATGGCTTTTGTACATGCAAGCTGTTTAATCCCCAGCATAGCTTTTTTCGATGGAGCTTTTTCACCAGCAGGAAAGTTGTTTGGATCCAACCCATCGTCCTAAGTAGTCTTGAGTGCTGCTTTTGTCAGTTCACAGCTACTAAATTTTCTTTGTATAGCAGAAGCATAATTGAGTGGAACGGTTATAGCAACAACGCACAAAGTAAATCTAAATTTTGTGGCAGGTTTTAAAAATTACTTGACATCTCTTTTGATAGATTATTTTCTTCCTTCATTGACATAATTAACTGCTAACAGGACATTTACTTAACAGAATGTTAAATTCATGTGCCTAATGCCTAGAGAAGGTAAACTTGTCTATTGAGTAGTAGTCAGTGTGTATATCCTGTGCTATAGCTCAGGGTCCTGACTATCAGCAGTGGCCAGACAGAACTCTCAAGGAAGTTTATAAACCAGAATATGATGATTATATTCATCTCCTACAATCTGTCCTGCTGGCAGGGGTATGTTGTCTCTAAAAGTGGAACTGTCAAGTATGACTGTTGAGAGAGTTAGTATACCATAGGGGATAACAGCACACTTTTTGAGCCTGGAAATTCCTAGATCAACTCTTGTGTCTTCCATTGACTTAGTGAGTTACCTTAGGCAAACCACTCTCAGTTCCCAGTCTCTTATGTGGGAATAGTAATGTCAGCTAGCTTTATAAAATCAGTGTAAAAATAACATGAGAAATCTTTAATCTCTTAGGCCCAAACAGTATGAAATAGGAACAAGAAACAGGCCACAAAATACTTCGCACACCCACATAGGTCTTCTCTCCCCTGACCCCCTCTGTTTGGGTTCAGCATTGCATGTGACTGCTGCTAGGTCTAGTTAAAAACAGCACCTAAACTGTTTGTGAGACCCTGGTTTGTCGAAGTGAGCTTTAAAACATGTTTGGTTTCATATTAAGCAGCATTCAAGTATGTTCCCCAGAGAGCACTACGGTCAGAGTCCCAAAATCATTTGGCCCTCCTGGGTCCCAAAGATGCCAGGCTGGCTTCAGCCATGGCCAGGGCCTTCTCAGTGGTGGCTCCGCCCTGGTGGAACAAGCTCTCAGAAGATACTAGGGCCCTGCAGGACCTTTTACAGTTCCACAAGGCCTACAAGACAGAGCTCTTCCACCAGGTCTTCAGTTAAGGAGCCGCATCTAACAAACTAAGACGCTGTGCCCAATACCATCATTGACAGCTTGAGCTTCGCTGACCCTAAAACCAATTGCTGACTGTATCTCTATTATGGCTGATGATACTACTGTTTCACACCACCATACAAATTGATCACTAGCACTTTATATTGTGTTTTACAGCTATATTTATATTTGTTGTTTTTATCTGTCTAAATTTTATGTAAGCCACCCTGAGTCTGCTTTGGCAGGGAGAGTGGGGTATAAATCAAATCAATAAATAATAAATAAATCTGTATTTTAAACTTTGGTTCCAAATTTGTGTCCAAACCAGACCTTTGAAAAACACTACATAATATATCATAATGGCTTGGAGCCACTGATAGACCTGTTCCCATGGATTTATTCTTGCTAAACGTTACTTTTTTCTCATGTGGTGATGAGTTAATGGACTGATTTTGCATTGTGCAAAGATGCAGTTCTTTTGGTAGTAATGGTCTTTGTGTTTGTCTTTTTCAGTGAATGAACATGAGTTTGCATTTTGTGAGTGAATAATTTTTCCATATTCACTCATGATTTTATAGACATCTGCCATTTCCTTCCCCCCAGTACATTTTCCTATGCTAATAAATGCCTGGTCACTATTTTAAAAAAACAACCTATGGAATATTGCGGTTGCCCTTTTATTTATTTCAAAAAGTTCATTGTGTGACATTAGAATCAGGAGCAGCTTGCACAGAATCGTAGGAAAACAGAGGATATTCCACGGACTTATTTCATAGAGTATGAATTCCTCAAAAGAAAATAACTGCTAATGTGTACACTTAAATTAAAAGGGCTCTTTTAAAAAGTTTAGCATAGTTTGTTTCTGAGCTATTTTCACATACTTTTGTTTATATTCCTAATAAACAGATTGCATCATTTTGAGTCCCCTTTTTGAGAACTCTTCTTCTATTCTTGTCCCACCAAGATTCAGAATTTTAATTAACAAACTGCATGTTTGCTTTTGGATCTCAAGAGATAACCAGGAGCTCTTCCGGTTTGTGGATCAGCGATGGCGGTCGTTCTCCCTGGACCTCGGGGAAACGACTCGCACACCAGCGGTATGGAGGGGTGCAACCTCAATTAGCACTCACATGGAGCCATTGCGATAGGCTCCAGGCCATAGGGCTTTTGAGGGGCAGCCTCTTCAATGGCTAAATGCCGGAGAATTGAGGCTTCCCTCCGCCCTGATGGTCCTGCCGCTGTGTGGCCCTTGGGCACAAGCTGATTCGACTGGGACAAGCGCCGGAGATCGAGCGGAATATCGTTTACTGTGAGCAAGGTCAGAGAAATGACCGACAATGAACGTGAGTTCAAAGTAAACAGAATAATTTAAAAGCGAAGTAACCCCCCCCCCCGGTAGGAAAAGCGGAACACAAAGAGGGATGCCTCTTATGCGAACGGACAGATAAGCGTAACAAAGGGGACAGGGGGGAAACAAGCAGCAATTTTGTTTTGAGAGACTTACTTGAGCGCTGACATCGAGGTGACGATTTTTCGAATCTGCGAGAAGCAGTTTGGAATGGTAAACAATCGTATAAAATGGCGGCCTCGCAAAGAAAGTTTAAAGCGAAACCGGCGGGTAGTCAGAGCCCAAAACCGGGAGCAGACGTCATGAAAATGTTAGCAGATATGCTCAAGCCGGTGATGGAGCAACTCGATGGTATTACCCAGCAACTGACCTTGCTGAATCAAAACTTCGCATCCCAGCAGCTACAACTGGCAGAAACGGCGAAGAAGGTGGAAAATACGACTGAGAGAATTAAACAGACAGACACCACAAACAAGAAAATGAAGAAAAGAATGGGGGAAGTTGAAGCAAAACAAAATTTACAAGAAAACCGTTTGTTACAGCTACAAATGGAAAAAGCCAACATGATTCTCAGATTCCAGGGAGTTCCTGAATCGCAAACGGAGGATCTGAGGAAGTTGCTCAGTGAGATTATTGCTCCAGCAATAGGCTCTACAGCGGATGAAGTGGTAAAAGAGATGGAGACTGCTTATAGGGCATACTCCAATTATATTTTTTAAAAAATAGCCTGCCTGGAGAAATTGTGGTCAGATTCTCAGATTAAAAGTGACTTCAGCAACTCCACTGAAAATGGGGAATATAAACATTAAAACTTTAAAAGACATTCCATTTGAATTTTGCCAAAAGAGGAAAAGCTATAAGGACTTAATTTCCTTTCTTCAAACCAATGGAATTTCGTACAGGTGGGCGATCCCAGAGGGTGTCATCTTTAAAATCAATGACAAAAGAGAAAAGATTGACTCTGTTTTTAAAGCCAAAGAATTTTTGCGACGCCAGTTGGGAATGGAAGAAGAATCCAAAGATGAAGAATCGAAATCAAGTGACTCTGCTACCTCTGGAACGGAAGAGGACTCTGCTGTAGAAACAGGTGCAGGCGCAACGAAAGTTACATATGATTTCAGAGACAGAAAACCGAAGTAAAGGCAGAAGGACTCTGAAAAATGCCTTTTGAAGCAACTAACAAGAAGATGCTCAGAAAGTTCTCTCACAACAACTAACATACTAACATTGAAGCCGAGACAAACAAGAACTCTACAAGTATATTGTTGTA